GTCGCACTTTGGGAAGAAAGTCGTCTGTCGTCCCCGACAGCTCGGGTATATGTGTCTTTCGGCCCTGGGAGCCTTGGATATTGAAGTCGCTGCTGGGCGTCGGCTGGAATTCACCAGGTTGCGTCCTCGCATCGCCAAGACGCGAGCCCGGATGCCCAGGTTATCGGTTGTTAAGAAAGCTGGCGCTCTGGTCACCCGGTTTTCTAGATAGGCTTTACCGCCCGCACTTGTCCAGCAGATGCGAGTCGTCATGAGAGGCACGTGGTGCACTCCAGGGGGCCACTGCCTCGGTCTGGTTGTCGGCGTGTGTCCAAGGCGCCTCCGTGGGAGATGGCCCGCAGGTCCATTGTTGGGCCCGGCCCGTCTATCAGTGGACCCCTTCTGGTTCGTGACCCGTGCACCATTCGCGACGTGTGGCAGAAGGGGTGGAAGAGGCAGATCTTCCGAGTACTTCGCTCCAAGAAGCGGTGGGGGCAAGTTGCAGGTACTGCGGGAGCGATGTTGCTCTCCCTTCGCGCAATGGGATGGAGGTCGGTCTCGGCCTTTGTCGTGGTCACATATTCAGGTGACATGCCCGACTTCCGCATCGATGCGCCGCTCAGTGTGCGGGAATTGGCGAGAGTTGCTGCTCTTCGTAAGTTGCGGGCCCAGTGGGCCACGCGCATCAAGATCGCCGACGACTGGATGATTCCCAAGGAACCCATCGGCTACTGGATTGAGCCCGTCCTGAAGCTACTCCACCACGCCCCTGAGGTCCCCGATGGCGCCAGCGACGACAGTTGGCCCGAGGACGACGAGGTTGCTCCAGAGGCCCAGACTTGGGCCCCCACCTAGAACGAAAGTGTCATGTTGAGAACGATTGCGGCTCTGCAAGCACGGGTACAAGGGTGAGAACGATTGGGCCTGAGAACGACTGTGCCATGCTGAGAACGATTGGGCCCCCAGCCGGCTCTACAAGCATGGGTCTGCGGAGACCCCAAAGTGCCCATGTTGTGATCATGAGTATTGCTCACCATATCACATCATATGGGAATGTCCGGGTCGTGAATAGCAGCGGCTGGCCGCTTTAGGCGACGCCGACTTGCGAGGGTTCCCTGCGAGGACCCACGGCTCGTGGTTTTGTGCTCGTGGGCTACCGTCTCGCTCGTGCTTCCGTGTGCTACAGCCTCGAGACGACAGTGACCGTCGGCACGTTCGCTACGGAGCATTGGAAAACGTCACTGGCGACATTTACACAGACGGTGCCTGCAGGAAGGCGTGGTTCTGGCCCGAGGCGTCGCATGCGGGGTGGGGGTTCGTCAAGTACACGTCCTCGATTGAGCTCATGCCGTTCGGTGCCCTCTCAGGTCCCCTTCGGAGCTCACCACGAGCTGAACTTCATGCGTTCCTGGAAGTCCTTGGTGTGTGTACACCCCCGTGCATGTACACGCGGATTACATGGGGCTCGTCGAAGGTTTGGTCTGGGGCCCCAGGTATACCACGGGCCCTAGACGGCCGGATGCCGATTTATGAGCTAAAATCCAGAGAAAAATGATGATCACGGTGGCCTTGGAGAGGCCATTCAGGTGTCACATGTTCGGGGCCACCAGAGGGGCGACTCGATCAGTGCGAGGGCCAGCAGATGGACCGACCTCGCTGCTAGATTTGGTAGAGATTGGCATGCCCCCTCTCGTCTTCAGATTCGCGCGATGAGCCTGGCTCTTCGCTCCACGCGCCGAGTGTTGCATTGGATTGTTACAGCGCGTCTGCATCGTGCCAGTTTTGGGAGGACCGAGACGCGTGCTCGTACCAAGCGGGTCTCACGTCGACGGCGAGCCAGTCAGGCGGCCACTCCTCCTACTCCTCCTCCTGTTCCTCCTCCTCACTGGCACCAGCACCTCCCTGAGGGCTGTGGGTTCGTTCGCTGCACATACTATAAGAAGGGAGCGAGGACTGAATAATCCAGGCGCAAGCTAATGGCCACCACGTGTAATGCGAGGTTATACCAGGCGGTGCGAGCAGAGTCCGACTCCCCCCCGAAGTCTAGGTTTTCTGCGGTTCGGTCTGTGCCTGAGCCCCCCCGGGGACCAAGGCAGCGGGGGGGAGCCGCCGCCCACAGCCTCGTCTATCGAGGCTGTACGCCACGCTCGGGCCACCACGGCCCACGGACCTTCTCGTCAGCTCGGACCTGGCTCCCCGGGACTCCAGGGACGGGGACGCGGAAGGGGAGGAAGCGGGAAGCCTGCAGCTTCTTACAGGAGCCATTGTCCCAGCGGCAGCGTGTCACTTGCTCTCCGATTGTTGTCACTTGCGCGGCTGACAGTTTCGAGCTTGCTGCTGCCACCGGGCGAGTCAGCTTCAGGGAAGGCGCCCCGCCCCGTCGAGGCGATGTCGACCCCTCGGCGACCCGTCCGCGTGAGGGGCCCGCTTGTCTCCCCGACCGCAAGAGACAACGCACCGGGATCGGCAGAAACGATCGGCCCAAGGAGGCTGACTACACAATCCCTGCCGCCTTCGTCCCAAGGACGAGCATCGTGCCTGCTGTGGCCGCCTGTGGCCACCGTTTGTGGGTTGTTCCAGGGTATTGCGTCCTATGCGTGCATTGCGGATTTTATTCCACGAGGAGTGCGGGTCACCTTCTTATAACAAGTGACGCGGACGAGAATCGCATTTCTGATAGGGCTGCCCGCAATCGGAATTGCTTCTTTCTTGCCGCCACCCTGCCGACGAAGGGCGGGATGGATGTCGTGTTTTTTTTCCGTGCCCAGGCCTTTGCGGGCCACGGATCCCGAAGTTCACTGGCTTCGGTTCCCTTTTGAGCCCAGCCACGCAGGGCCTGTTGTGCACGAAACCCCTTAGTGCCTGGCGGCGGCCCGCTTCATATTGCATATTTCGCATAACTACAAAACAAGATTGTGTTCCGCGCCCTGGCCGTGATCCTTCGGGTGGGCTGGTGTGTGCTCGGAACCTCGAGGGAGGCCCATTTGGCCCCCTCTCAACTGTTGTGCCCGCCTGTGCTTCAGACGCGGCGGCGACAATGCAGAGTCTTATCCTCCTCCTCCTCCTCCTCCTCCTCCTCCCTTTCCTCCTCCTCCTCCTCCTCCTCCTCGTCCTCCTCGTCCTCCTCCTCCTCCTCCTCCTCTGCTCTCTCTGCCTCCTCTTGCCCCCGGCTCCTTTTTTGCCTCTGCCCTGGCCACCTCCTCCCGGTGGCCATTCGATGTTGAAGTTGGCTTAGAAGGACCCCCGAGGGGGAAGGGTGGAGGAGTAGGACGGGGTGGGTCAGGTGGGGCGTCTCCCAACGGTCTCGAGGGGGTTTGGAGGAGGGTGGTGTATGATGATGCCGATGATGAGGATGGGGATGATAATGATGAGTATGATGAGGATGAGGATGAGCATGCGGATGAGGATGAGGATGAGGATGATGCGGATGAGGATGATGATGCTGCTGTTGATGATGATGATGTCGATGATGCTGCCCATGATGGTGATGATGCTGCTGATGCTGAGAATAATGAAGGTGATGATGGTAGTGGAGGTGGAGATGATGATGATGATGATGATGATGATGATGATGATGATGATGCTGATGATGATGATGATGATGATGATGATGAGGATGATATGGAAAATGAGGAAGAGGAGGAGGAGGAGGAGAGAAGGACGAGGAGAAGGAGGAAAAGGAGGATGAGGGAAGGATAGGGGAGGAGAAGGAGGAACAGAGGAAGCGGGAGAGGCGGAGGAGGAGGAGGATCGGGAGACGAGATAAGGAGCTGTTAGAAGAAGCAGGAGGAGGAGAAGGGGGAGGAGGATGAGGAGGAGGAGGAGGAGGAGACGAAGGAGGAGGAGGAGGAGACGTTGAGCCCAGCCCCCCAGTCGCTGAGACGGCGCATGCCTGGAGAAGCTGCCGCAAAGGTCGTGATCTTGGCCCGGGCACTGGAAGAGGTGCCAACTCGGCCCCGAGACTGCCTCCGCGGACTCGAGAGCAGTCGTCGGGTCGGGCCCAGCGCTCCGTTCGTCGGGGCGCGAGGAGCCGGCAGCCCGACCCCGACACTCTTGTCCGTCGAGGCCGAGCTGGTTTTTGGCCATCCGCTCGGCCCCGAAACTCTGCTCCCAACCATCCTTTGGTGTTGGGTCCTCGTTTCGAAGAGGCAGCGCCCCGCGTCCCACCTTCCTTCCTCCTCCCCCTCCTCCCTCCTCCCCCTCCTCCCTCCTCCCCCTCCTCCCTCCTCCCCCTCCTTGCCTCTGCTCTCGGCACACCTCTCACCCGTTTCGAAGAAGCTCCTCGAGGGGGTGTGCCAATTCGGAAAGGAGGCAGTCGAGTGTGTTCGTCAACTCGGGAGGAGGCCGTCGATGGGGGTTTGTCAATTCTGAATGAGGCCGTCAGCGG